TTCCTCGGGATATATAAATGTATGATAAAAGCAAAATTACATGTATAAATTTGACACGAACTTATAAATTAAGATGGACTGCTAATGCTGAATTAACAAATGACACCTAGGTACATGGGGGCCGCCATGATGTGCACTCACACGGCGCGAAATTCAACAATTCAACATTAACCTCACGTTTTCTAAATAAATTACTGTGACACATGTCATTGTTCAAGGCTGCAATAGTCTCAAAACTTGAGCGTTAGGAAAATTCCCCTAGAAAATAACTAAAATGTGCATATCATGGCGGCGCCCATGCTAGGGCCATTTCTACATCTATGCAACTGTTTGATCAGCAGTCCATCTTAATTTATAAGTTCTTGAAATTTGACCATGTAACGTTCTAGGATAAGTAGGTACTCCACTAAGTAATCCACGATATCATTCAAATTTTTGATTTGTTTGAATTCTCGAAATTCCTCATATCTTCTTTTAAACTTTAAATTATTCAAATCTGTTGAATGAAATTCTTTAGATCCTTCAGTTGCTCTGAGTTTCTCCGATTCTGCAATTTTTTTGGTCTCAGAAGAGTCTTTGATTTTTTTAACTGTGTCAAATTCATCCGTTTTATGGTAGGGACTGCTGCAGAGTTCGGGTTTTTCAGACTTCTCCGATTCTTCAAACCCTTCCATTTCTTTAGCTTCTTCGAATTCCTTGGATCTTGCAAATCTATAATTATACCTATAGTAGGTACAATCAGACTCTTCACAAAACAAATAATAAAAATTATAACCTTAAATTGTTTCTAAAATTAGTTTGCATCATGGTATAAGTTTGCATTGTGTACTGCTACTATAATGGCTTGCTTACACGAGGGCAGTATGGTAATAAGTGGTAACTAAGTTTTAAGTTACCGCTTTTTCTGCAAGTGCTGTTCGCACTGCTTTAAGTTTAAAGTTGGTAAGTTCTAAAATTTTCAAAAATGCAACACGACGAAATGAATCTAAGGCAGGAGTTTAATAATATATTACGCGATATTCTAAACATTAAATTAGAAAAAATAAACGAAGATATATGCGAAGAAAAAATGAACACAAATGAAATTGATGTCATTTTCAAAAGTAGTATCAAATCTCCCACAATACACGCAATTCAACTACTCTACACACCACCATTGATTAAATACTTTAATTTAAACAATGATCCCACATACCAACCGATGAACTTATCACTTATTACTAGACGAGTCAAGTAAACCAACACATGCGGCAACTTGAAAAAATTCTACCCCAGTGTAAGTATCTACTAAATTTTTACTTGCTCCATCACTTGTTACTTGCCACATTCGCGCTGTTCAAATGGTTCAAGTGATTTAAAATTTGGTTAAAATTTAGTTCGACTGTCCCCGTGTAAGCAACCCATAAGACTAGTGCCTAAGCATTTTATATCGACTGTTTTTTCCTGCAGATTAAGGTTCTACTTCTTGTTTTGATCATTTTTGATACAGTATATACGTACCATCTCAATATCCCTTGATTCAGGATTATTCTGAATCATGACTTCTTTTTTATTGGTTTGTATGCCTCTCTAGCCCCTCAGCAAAATGTTATGTTCTAGATTCTAGAGTACGTACCATTACTAATTTACCGTTGCTGTCTCGACATCTGTAAAGGGGGATAAATTGTGCAATATATTACTGGTTTGGAGAACGTTCAACCCTGTGATGGTTATTCCTGATCCCCCAAGCAACTAAACAAAAAAAAACCCTCGTTTTCTTCTATTTCACAATTATAAGGAAATTACTAAAATTATTGCACTTTTTGACGGATTAATTTAGCACAAATACCTACACTTTAAGTTAACCCTTAAGTTGTACGTATGAATTCAGGAATTGAGTTGGAGTCGTGTTCAAAATTTTCCCAAACCGGATTTTACTGGGGGTGAACATACGCGCGCCATTAGGTCACGAATATTCTGAAGAAACCATTGAAGGCGAATGTACCTACCTGGTCGAATTTTCCAACGCCATGGAACTTTCCTTATACAGATAGCAGCTGGTTCTCCATTTTCCTCTATCCTGCGCCTCCTGCTTCATTTAGGAATAACTTTTCCTTCCCATTATATTCGTTAACGGTCCAGTTTTGGATCTTCCCCTTCCCCTCCTTCCATTAATCTTTCCTTCGATTATCCTTCTCATTAAACAGTGTCCTTTAAAAATATGGTCTCTCCGCAGTCCTTTCCGTCTTCGTATATTGATCTTAAAAAACTTCTTTCATCACCCATTCCTCTCATTCTTCACTGTTTGTGTCCACTTTACTTATTCCATTTTGCACCATAGCCACATCCCAAAGCTAAGTACCTTTTCTTTGCTATTCATGCTCCACGTTTCTGATCGATTTGTGGCAACACTCCAATCGAAGGCTTTAGCAAATCTGGTGCTTAGTTCAATCGGTAATCTACTCTACGTCCTCCGTACAACTTCGGTTCCTCCCTTCCAACCAATATTATTTTCTTCGTCATTCGTTGTAATTCCTTCTCTATTTCTGCAATTTCGCTGTACCTACGTTGCAGCTGCCGTTCTCCCCGCCATGTTTTTCTACCTGCTCGAGGTCCGGCTCTCTTACATGATAATAATCGGTAGCTTACTACCATTTAGGCAATCAACCATACACTATCTAAAATGGCAACGTTGAAGTGTAAGTTTTCCAGCGGGGACTCGTGTGGGATAGACCGCACCTTCGGCGTTTCTTCGTCACTGCCTTGATATAAACGCAACAGGAGGTATATAATTACAAGAAGCTAAAAAGATGACGATTCGATTAAATATTTTTTGCTATATTTATTGGGGTTATTATGGGGTTGGAACCTTAAAAAACCAGAAAAACTAAAAACGGAACGGAAAATAGTTGCAGTAATAGAACCCGAATCGGAACCCTTAAAAAATAATTCTACCTAGGTAGTGTCGAACCGGAACCTATATTTCACATGGGTTCCAACGACTGGATATATACTGAGTGTCCTGCGTAGATGTATAGTTAGCCTAGTAGACTATAGAGAACCGTCGCTATCTGTAGCCAAAAAAATACATTCAATATGTTGGCTATATTACGTTCAATCTGGGGCACACGGTATGACTACGATTATGGTTCTCCAAATTTAAGAAAATTCCAAAATTCAAAACCCATTTTTTCTTAAATGAGATTACGGTCCTTTACTTTCGCTATACTTCGAGATACTTATTACCATAATTACAGTACGGTTTTTATATAATAAATATTAGACTATACCCTCTACAACTGCCATTATTTTTGTAAAAGAGAAAACAATCTTAAAAACATGACGGTTTATGTTGAGATGTAAGTACAAGAAACAAAAATAAAGAAACAAAATTTTGTGAGAATCCAAACAAGTACCTATAAATTGTGCACAACTCTTGTGCAGATAAAACGCATTTTATAAAACCGAAACAGCTTAGTAAATGGTTAAATTATGCGGGTCACTGTGTAATTGGGCGCATAAGCCTGTTGAGGGCCCAGAACATGAGTAAAGAGAGGGATAGTACATTTTAAAAAATAGTAACATACTACATATATCGATGTTTCCTTTCGTGGTAGATGAGTAAAGGTCGTCTGGCATACATTCAAAATCTACGCTATAGGTGTAATGCAAAAAGAATCCAGCCCTTAGAGAAATTCTTCGAAGTATTGCATTTTGCCTTTGTAGGTACCTTCCTCCAACATTTTCGAGATATTCAGAATTAAGTTTTGACATCGCCGTTCTTTCTACCCTTTGAGAGTTCCCTCCTCCCACACTCCGTGCGGTGGATATTTGCAGTGAAAGCAAAGAGTAACTAATAAGTATTCTTTGGTGAAAGTTACCCACTTCGTTTTCGAGATATTCACTTCGACTTTACCAACAGATATGTCTCGCCCAGACAATTCATTTTGCCTTTGTGGGCACCTTCCTCCGACAATCGCTGTTCTTGAGATATAAGGAATTATTTTTATCCGATCACGCCCACCTCTGATCGAAAAGGAGTCGCGCAGGAAAGTTATAGTTTGTACAAACCCCCATTTCGGCGAGACCTTTCATTAAGATACCATGAAGGGTAGAACGTCTGTTCACATGCATTTTTTAATTTGAATTTTAGGGGTTGCTAGCTCAATCACAAAGCTGGCCTTTTAAAATATTTTACATCGACGTTCCAAACTTATACTTTCGATCGTTCCTGTTGTGGCGCCGTAATTATGCTACGGTTCAATATTATTACTTATCGGTGATCGATATAATTGATAAATATAATCGCTGTGGAAAGGAAAAAAGAAACGTGTTTCATTCTTCCGACACCCCGAGGGATACCGGAGGCGGGCTGCTCAGGGTTTTCTCTTTTCTGACCCTCTTCAGCCAGAGAACGGAAATATAAGGATGGGTAAAGTTAAGGAGGGGAACGGAAGGAACGGAGTAAGGGTGCTGAGAGGGAAGAGTACTGCTCCAGCATTCGCCTCGTAGATTTCAACATTGCTAGCATTATGCGAAGCTACGATACGTCTGAGGAAAACCCTCTGACAAAACCCCAGACAGAGCAGTCGGCAGCGGGAATCGAACCCACAATCTCCCGAATAGCTGTGGGAAGGAAATATTTCCAGAATATATTGGCAGAAGCGCAGAAGTGATACCATTCGCGATAATTGGCATTAATATCTATATGCGAGGACGGTTATCTAATTCTAAAAGTAGCACCGCATCAACAAAACTTTCGGTGGGTATTACTGGGTTTTGTCCTAAATTTAGAAATGCGTTTTGTACAGCATGTGAATGAAAACTTTCGAATACGGGTCAAGTGATGTAGGGATTTTTATTAGAAACCAACAGGTGCACGTAAGTACGTGAAGGTATAGAAATTGCAGCGGTTCTAAATAAATGACAAAGTCGGCGCATTGGCGATAACGTTAAGGATGGCGTAGAGAGGCGCGCGCTGTTGGGCGTCGCGGTATTGATTCCCGCAGCGCCGCGACGGGGCCTGGCAGTTGTGCTCGGGATTGCATGATGTGTTGATGCACCGCTACCCTCGCAAACGATTTCAATGGTGGATGAGTGACTTACTTATCCAGAGTGGATGCCTCGACCGATGGTAGCGCTTAGCGCGGTATGACGGAAGTAGAGGATAGCGACGCGTCATTTTTTTCCACCGTCAGCACAAATGCCACCGTGCCTGATCCTTGCCTCCGCGTACGAAAATATTGGTGTTTTCTGCTATCAAGTATCTGTACATTTCTTGTGGGCCTCCTTAGCGTTTTAATATGGCGCGCCTTTGCCTTCCTGTGCTGTCGCAAAGAAGCCGAGTATGGGCCCAACGATCCAAAACAAAAAGAGCAAAAGCTCGCCCGACAAGGGAAACAAGAGTTCGAAGGTACCTTCATGACAGAAGCAAAAGATTGGGCGGGAGAACTTATCTCGGGACAAACAACTACCGGCCGCATATTGGTAAGTACCTACCGACCAAAACACATTATTTATACTTAAATGTAATAAGTACATCGTGTGTAACTATTGGCAACACATAGGCATGTATACGTGTGAACATAGGAAATATCGGTCATTTTCTCCCCGACTCGACTGTTAAATTAATCAGTATAATACAATTCCATTGATTTCTCCAACCCTAATAATTTATTAATATCCAATTTCTTTGGTATCACTAATACCGCCAATTGCTCTGAAACAAATGCATGGTAATATAAGGAATATTCTTCGGGATACACGCTTTCCCAAGGTCTTTAATCCCGTAGCCCGTTTAATTATTTTTTGCTACGTCTCCATTAGTTGGTCTATAAGTACAAATCAATAAATAAAGGTTGAAAGTGGGTTACTAAATTATATACGAATCCAATTTGCGCCATTTGTTATAATATTCATAGTTAAAACGGGCACTCGTCAAAAATAAGTATGATGCATTTTAACACATAATATCTCCTAACTTATACCGAATTATTCGATTTTGAACAAATGAAGTAGTTAATTTCTTCTATGTTCAAATTCTGAACAAGTATATTTTGGGTAGAAATTTCAAAGGAATACCTACAGTTAAACTAGGACATCGACATATTCAACTTAAGTAGTGCTTTCTTACAATTTAATTCTAGTTAATTCTCTAAGAAACGACACTGAAAAATCTAATTATGAAATGACATACTTTAAAATTAAAAATAGCGCATTTTTAGCCTTTTAATATGAGAAGCATCTCAGTCTTACATAATTTAAAATAACTCTTCTTGGTAACTGCCGATACCTAACATTGCAATTTTATTGCACCATGTAGGTATTTTTATAAAACAGTAAAAAGAAAAATGTGAGATGCAATATGAGTAACTTCATTACGATTCCCCACCCCAACCATTTTCAATTATAAACCACCTTTTAATGGTTTTTGAACGGCGTTAGATTGATTAAAGGTCCTCATATTATACAAAATGGTTGCGATTATTTTCAGACAAGTTAATATTATTGTGGCTATTTGCGTATCAAACACGAGATTATGGTTTTGGCATGTAGCTGAGACTGTCTAACAAGACAGCGGGTCAAGTTCTACAAGGTAACAGTTTTGGAAGTGCTTCACATAAAAAATGTTGTAATAACAAAGCTTCGATATATTCCTTTTTATATTAGGATTCAAAAGTTCTATATAGGAATTGAATTTAATTGCATCGTCATTTCGACATCCATATTATTTATACCCACCCGTGCTTGAGCGAATATTGCTAATTTTAGTCATGTTATTGAAAGAATTGAGTGAAGGATAGTTAAATTGAAGACTACACTCAAATAGAATTATCTGTCAACAACCGTGACTGTTTGTTATAGGTAGGTATCCTTTAGGCATGCTATTTAGAGCGCTTTATCGATTGATGTCTCCGAATTTTTGGCAAATGATCATTATTCGAAATGGTATAGAGCGAAAACTTAATTAACAACAGTAGATAGTACAAAGATTTGATCCAACGAATAGATTTTTGCTGGATTTCGGTATCAAGTCAAGTGTAATTTTAGATCAATCAGTTTGAGAGAACAACAAAGACAATTATTTTTAAGTGCTTCTGTGAAAGTATAAGTTAATTAAAATGGACGTTTACCTAAATTTAGTCGTTGCCTTGTTCTCTTTGCGCCTCTATTTAAGATTCAGATTAAAAATGTCAAGTGAGAAAGTGGCCGTGGAAAATTGTTAAGGTGTATTAAAATTTAATTCCAATAAAATCGAATTCTGAAATTAGTACTTATATCATAAACTATTACCTAATGTAAAATGTTGAAAGATGGTCAACCCAACCTACACTATTTTTGGTGTGTCTTTTCCTATAATTTTGACTACAAAAACCATATAGGTATAACTCTCGCCAGGAAAGATTGCCGGTCACAGCACACCTTGTGTCGATTTACAATCTTTGTTTTTATTAAGATGCGAGCGACTTCTGGAATAGGATCGTGCTAATGCTGAACAAAAAGTCTTTTCGTTCAACATTGACACGATACTATTCCAGAAGTCGCTAGCACCTTACGAAAAACAGAGATTGTAGATCGGGATTAAGTGTTCTGTGACCGGCAATCTTTCCTGGCGAGAGTTATACTTATATGTACTCTTTGCTTATACTAAATGATCTGTTTCTATTTTCTGAATTGAGGTATGTTAAAGTTATTAACCAATTCGTCCGCGGGAAAACGACAAAACACATTCCCTTGATACATGGAAACCACAATGCCTTGAAATGTGAACACTTAAGGGCGATTCACATTTGCGCTACACTCAGCTGGGCGACGCGACGCGATGCCACGCCACAGAGTTGTATATAAGTAAATAGAGAGGCAGTACATACGACCTTGCGCGTGGAAAAATAACTCCAACTACAGTGGCCGACTTTTAATGGCGGAGCCGTTGGGACTCATGCGCAGTGCGTGAAAGGGAATCAGCACGATTTTTGGGTGCATTCAGTTACATAATCACAAAACAAAACAGCAATAACTTTTCAGATGCTTCAGATTCATTTGTAAATAAACAGACGCTTTGGAGTAATAATTTAAGCATGCCCATTACATTATACTCTTTACCGCCATTTCAATGTTTAGTAGGCGACGATCTGTACATAAATAAAGGTTATTTTAAAATGCTCCTAGAAAAGATCAAATATATGGGTGGAAGGAAAACTCTTCGCAAGCAATTGTTGAAACTTGGTTTTCGATACAAGAAGTGTCGGGACAAACGTAGGTTGGTAATGGAAAGAAGTGACATTGTAGTATGGCATCTCGTTATTTAAGAAGATTAAAAGAAAATGAACAACCTGAATGTGACAAGAAACCCGTTATATACTTGGACGAAACCTATATTCACTCATCGTACGGAGTGAGTAAATGCTAACAATCAGATGAAGTATCGGAAGTTTATAATAGGGCTGGTCAGAGGACATCGTAGTATGCTGGTAACCTGGTAGTCGTTCTGGTTTCGTAGAGGATGTCGCACAGTAAATCGGGGGATTATTACGATGATATGAATCATACCAACTTTATGCAGTGGTTAAGGCCGTATTAGACGATGCAATTTTTATTGCAATCCTTGCAGCAACTATTGCTGCTATTATTGCAGCAATTATTGCAAAAAGATGCAATGATTACACTATGCAATTTATTTGGCAATTTTTTTATACCCAATTCTAATCATGTATTTACCAGCAAACTCACGCACCTCGTCAGTGTTCAAATAAATAAGCCACCAACAATGAATAATCGTAAGGAAGTGATACGTTCTTGGTTAGAAGCAAATAACATTCCTACGAGAAATGAATTTATTGACAATCTACAATTTATTGTGAACACCGGCAGTTCCGATGATGATTAGTGGTCAAGTGACGATAATGAATGAAAAAAGTTAAAGGTTGTGTGTTAATTTAGTCGCGAGTGTTATAATATTAATTTCAATGTGATTGTTTCAATGACTGTCCATATTTATTTACACAGCAGAAGTGCATCAGAATTGTAAATTGTGTTGAACATGAACATCTAACAATCTTAAATGTGTTTACGTTTTGTAGAAATAAAATTATTAATTTTACTGTTTCCCCTTGAAGTAATGCAACTCATATCGCGTGCCCACTTATTTATATTTAGTAGAGTCAAATTTTGCATGAGAATGTACAGTCTAAATTTCCAACGCCCTCTGACACGCCCTGTCAGGGACCTTCTGAGTGTGGTGCCACTGTACATACCCTCTGCCGATGCTCCATTTTTGAGATATTTGAGTTATTGGCATTTGATGTTTGTCGACTTTGTGGCTACCCGTATTCAAACTGTGTTTTCGGCATTGCACACCTGAAATTTTGTCCCGCACCAAAATAAAATTTCAACTTATTTTATTCTTTCATTGCTTATTTTTATACTCACTGAGTGCATAAATAGATCTTTAAACTCGATCGCACGACAAATATACGATTTCCTTTATACCAGAATCTCAAAAAATCTTTTCTCGATTCTGATGTTGTAAGCCCCTTACCAGCTTTGTATTGTAGTCTACTGTATTAAAAGTTCTTAACGATTGTAATGTTTCTTATTTATTCAAGACACAGTGTTAACAACATCATTCACCACACATTGAATTTCTTTTCAATTTTTGTTGCAATGAGAAACCATATTATTCTCAAGCCGAACCTGCTTTAAGGATCATTTAATTTGAAGCCGGTTCTGTTGTCGATTACTGCGCACACTCACCAACGGCCTGCGCAAGGTTCAATTGGAGTCAATTTTTCGCTACAAGACTGTCTCTCTATTTATTTATATACAACTCTGTGTGCCACGCTGCAAAGAATCGTTAAAAAAGATTTCATGTTTTTAACTGAATTCGTGGCTACAGTTTACGACGCCATGCATTAATAAAACATGAAATCTTTGTTGATGAAGGGCTCCATTTTTTGTTTGAGTGATTATTAATATATGATGAAAATTAATTGAGACTCAGGCCTCACCTGCAGAAATTTTCATTCCAGATTTAAAGAACACAAAAATAACAACCCAAAATCAGCCATGGGCACACACATAAATGAAGAACAACATTCAATGTCTCTAAACAATTCAAAACTCTTACACGTAGATAACAACTACAAGAAATTAAAAATCTTAGAACACATGGAAATAGAAAAAGTAAAATTGAATGACCCAGATAAGCTGCTGAATGAAATCACATTTTTCCCTGAACCACACATACACCGATTCCTAGAGCCCTTCAAACACAATACACACACTCAATCTCACGAGTCACGCTTATTAATATTCGAATGCTCACTACACACATACACGCACACACACGACAACACATTCCCCTACACCATACATTTATATTTTAATACACGCCCATGACTTAATTTTATACAATATTACTCCATGCCATTGACTATGTACAACATAACCACATTTTACGACACGCTGTGATAATGTGTAACTTTTAA